AATTGAGTATTTCTGTCAAAGCTGTCAATCACTTCTCGAGCGACTCATTTGCGGTTCAATTGAAACAATTGGGTCTTAAATGCCGGCAAATAAAGAGCCTATCAATCCATATGCCGTACACACAGACGATGTGGGACTTAAATCCGGCACCAATTATGCCGGTAATCAATGACCACTTCCGACGCTTAAGACGATTGGAAATTACGGGAAAATTAAAGTACGATTTTGTATTCACCGCCGATTCACTCAATCAATGCCATCTTATAAAGAGGTTCGACTGTAGCCACCGATTGTTTGACAAAAATTTTACGGAAAATATTCACAGAATATTCCCAAAACTACAATACCTGACACTACATGGGATTGAATTGAGTAAATCAGTGCTCATAGCGTTGGAAAAATTGCCAAAACTATTGGAAGTTACTCTTTATTACCCAAAAAATTACACACAATTTAAGGCCGACTATCTCAGGAAGAATTGCCCAAAAATCCGAAAAGTGATCATTCAAATAAATATTTAATTTTTACGTGTAGCCAAGTTTGTTACACACCTATTTTATTGTATAACAGTATTTTATAATCAATATTACTTACTTGTTTGAATTAATTTTTATTTTATCACGAATATTTTTACATTGAATAAATTAAGCTATACGGCTATTAAATGCATGTATATAATTTATTTGTATGTCACACGACAGTTTGACTAACACTGTTAAGTTTACTTAACATAAAATTAAGCGAATTATATTTATTTTCTGTTGCCTTTTTACGCCGTTATTAATTTTCAGCTTTATACTTTTCATAGTGTTCGTAACTTATATAACTAACATACTTTTAAGTCCCATTCAAACTAGTTTACATGTTTACTTAAGCATTTATAAATAACCTCTATGCTAAACTAATCGTTATGGTATTTGTGTTTAAAATACAATGTTTATAACCGGTTACCATGTTATATTTATCAGTATTGATCAGGTATGTCAGTTGGAAATAAAATAACAATAAAAACATCCTAGCACCTTTTTAGTTCAATTTTGAACTATTTATGGCATAAATAGTTTTAAAAGTTAATTTATCATAATTATTATTTGTAGTTTGTTTTATGGTAAGTTTTGTAAATATTCATTAATTACGTATTGTTTTGATTAATTATATTAATGAATATTTTGCATAAATATCGGATTTAATAGCAAACAAAATAGGGAACAAATTAACATTAATGTCCAGCATATGACCACCAATACTACTCAAGACACTACTTAATTAAAATATATCACATAAAGTTTCATAAATTATAATTTGACAAACTTGTACTTTATTATACAGTATTGGGTTCACAATAGCAAACAATGTCGATAATAACCAACTCTTCGCGATATAACTATTACGACGAGACTTTCGATAGTAAATCGGAGTCAACAATCGGTTCCGGCTTTTCAGCGACAGTATATCGGGTCAAACCCAGAGATAAAGCCGATGGCCAGACATATGCTGTTAAACGGATCACATTATCTCGTATAGCATTTAAAACAATTTGATAAAACTTTATACAATAATAATTACAAATAAACAAAAAACAATCGCTAAAAGGTTTGAATGAAAAGCAAAAGTCAAACGCTATGAAAGAGTCGGAATTCTTGGTCAAAGTTAGCTCAGAAGTAGCTGTAAAGTACATCGACTCGTGGCTCGAAGGGAACAGTTTGCTGTACATCCAGATGGAAGCCTGCGATCAAAGTCTTCGGCACATTCTTGAGGCCAAACGCCAGGCATTCGGTCGACAATCAGCGGAGGAGCCGATGAAATGCCACGAATGGTACCTCTCGTGTCATATATATCGGGAACTGTTGGCGTGCGTCCAGTGTTTACACGACATGAGACCTCAACTCATCCATCGGGACCTTAAGCCCGAGAATGTGCTGATCCAACGCCAGGCCAATGGGCAGTGGTGTCTGAAACTGTGTGACTTCGGTCTCTCCACTCTTCATAACGATGCGATGGAATACTACAGGTCTTCCCAAAAGGACCAAAAGGAGTCCCACACACAAGACGTGGGAGACCTGAGATATATCGCCCACGAAGTGGTCACCAGTCGTAAGTACGACACCAAAGCCGATGTCTACAGTCTGGCCATCATTGGCGGCGAGTTGTTTGACATCAATGTCTCAGCTATTAATCTCAATAACTTGTATGTATTGTAGTTTTTCTCGTACTGTTTTTAACCATATGTTTTTATTTAACTGTTATATTTAATCTTGATTTCACTTTTCTATTAGTCCCGATGATTACTTAACACGTGATAATCCCCTAAACGCTGCGGTCTATGAAATGCATAAACTGTTGGACTCGATGTTTGTAATGAAACCGTCTCTAAGACCTAATTGTGGTCAAGTGTTGGACAAATACGACAACTGGTCTATCGCTAAGACTGTTGTGCAAAAGGATAGTGAAGTTGATATAACAGTAGACAAACTTCTATCACTAGAAAACAAATTTTTCTGCGATTTCTTTCTAAACAAATTACACGATAATTAATATAGAAATTAAAAATTTATTGCAAAAACTTGTTATAAAAAATTAAACAAAGACTTTAAGTCTATGGAAACACATTTGTTTTGTACCGATAAAAAAATCTAACACATGATTACATCCATTGTTTTTGTTTATTTGACATTTTCGATGACAATAGCGATTCCCTGTCCGCCGCCAATACAGGCCGAGCCGATGGCGTACCGGCCGTTACGTCTCTTCAGCTCATACACCAAATTGGCGGTAATGCGAGCGCCGGACGCGCCCACAGCTAATCAAACAACAATTACATAACAATTATTACCACATATTATGAGACAAAGACAAAATTGATAGTCAAAAACAGGTGACATACGGTGCCCGAGAGCGACGGCCCCTCCGTTAACGTTAGTCTTTGCCGGATCTAAACCCAACTCCTTCTCACACGCGGCAAACTGTGTGGCAAACGCTTCGTTCACTTCAATCACGTCGAT